CTTATCCTATCACAGCTGTGGATTGCTGATATGAAGCTGCAGAGCTTACTGAGATCAAACCAGAGAATGACATGCCATGCTGCTAGGTATTCACTGTTCAGAACAACATACCATGCCGCTAAGTATTCATAGGATGTCTCTTGCTTTCTCTCCTGCGGTTCTTTCGTTTTTTGGCTTTCTTTCGTTGCTAGGGGCTTTTCAGGTTAGAGGTTAACTTTTAGTCAAGTGCTAAGTATTCACTTGTACGTTTCACGCTGAGTAATTCATGCACGGTATTGTTTTTTCTCCTTCTAGGATTCTTTCGTTTCTCTCAGGTTTTCGTTCGTTGCTAGAGTCCGTCAAGGGTGCGCCGATTTCGGCTTTCTGGCCGGCGCCTTTCAACAAAAAAACACGCACACACACACACACACACCGCACCTTTTCTCTCCTTGCCTTCTTTCGCTTGTTAGGTTTTCTTTCGGGCTTGTTGGGTTGCGTTTAGGCTCGTTTAGTCGACACACTTTGTCCCCCTCTCCCCACGGAACCAAAAAGAGAGAGAGAGCGCGCCGATTTGGCACTCTGTGTGTGTGTGTGTCCGCTCCTGTCCCAAAGGAACAGCAGGGGCGTGTGACACTCTTATCCTGTCCCTGGATGACTAACCCACTAATTTGGGGTCATAGCTGGGAGCTACGGTGACTTTCTACTCTACTGGGTGATTCTTATGTCTCGCCCGCAAACAGGAGGCAGGGTTCGTCGGCAGACGTGTCTATCGGTTCCGTTTTCTTTCTCTACTGCGATTCGTCTGTCTCGCTCCCTAGCTAACCTTTTAAATCTACTCTAGTTACAAAAAAGAAGGCTTTACTTCCTTTTTACCTACTTAGAGCGATTCACTTGTCTCGCTCCCTTATGGAACCTACCTCTATGCATGCCGTTAATTCAGGAGTGCTAAGTATTCAGTAACTAGCTTCCGGCTTTTCGGAACTGATACAGAGAGCATAGATCTAAGCGTGCATATTCCTGAGCGTAGATGACCGAATTCACACGTCATCAACCCCGAACGATCGAATCGGCATCCATGGCTTTGTCAAAAAATATGCTGGGTCACAGGATGAAATGCTCAAAGACTTCAACCCAAGCACCTCGAACCGACCTCAAGTGGAATCAGTCATCCTTCTTTTTGTCGTTGAGTTTCTTCAAGACAGACCAGGCAAGGTGAGGGGTCAAAAAATAAGTACAAAAAAAATTCGACGGGTATCAAAAATAAAAAATAAAGGACACATAAGAATATTCCAAGTGAGCAATGAAAGGAAAAGGAGACAAGGACAACAACAGCAGAGCGGGCGACCAGAGGACCATGAAAATGAAAGGACATTTGAAACTAATAATCTAAAAAATCCCTGTGCGAATTCGACCTTTCACATGGACGTCTTTATCCTTTAGGGATCCCACTCTCTGCCAACCTGTTACTCTCTAAAGAATCAGCATCCATCAGAAAAAAACCTCTAAAAAATGAGTTTAGAAGTACAAACACTAAAGAATCAGACCTTCTCAACCTAAAAATGACAACGCCATCATCAACCTAAAGAATGTGACATTCCATGTTCGAGTCGAACTATCAGAAACTGTCGCTCCTTCTTCCAAATCTAACACACTGGTTCGGCAGTCACAAAGACTTGCCATGGTCCCCAAGCAACTTCCCTCAAGCAACCCTAAACCTCAGGCTTTTCAATTTAGGCTATGCAGTGGGTTGGGACCACCATTAATTTCATATCTATAAAATGACTCTCAGGACCCCCCCTGCAGAATGGACAGGGGGATCAATAGACAATAATAGTGAAAAACAAGAATATATATATATATACGAGTATATATACGCAATAACAAGAACCTAAAGAATCAGGGAACGTCGATATATACAGGTGCTTTGTTGTTTTGTTTCTGATTCTTTGGAGGCTGTTTTGTGTTTTTTGTCATGGTTTGATGTAGGTTAATATAACATAGAGTCCCTACTATTGGAAAACAGCGGCTCACAAAGGAAGGGAACTAGAGGCCATACGTAACCATATAGAAAATCATAGAAAAATGTTGAAAAATGTTGAAATATGTGTTCAATTGTTTTCAAGGTTCTTCCAGGAATCTGGGGCGTGTTCTAGGTTGAGTTTCTGATTCTTTAGAGGTCGAGCGGCTGTGGACCCTTTACTGAAGGCCTTTGGTACCCTAAAAAATTGATCCAACTCATTGAGTTCTTTGAAAGTATAGGCCCAGACAATTCTTTAGTGCCTACCACCTCTACGTTTGGATGGGTTTCAATTTTGGGAAAGCCCGGCTGGCCAACCAGGAGGATGTCCAAATGACTTTGCGGAGAGAAAGATTGGAGAGTACGCAGAGCTTGTTGGAGCAGATGCTTTCTACTTGGGTGTTGCAAATGCTCTCATGTTTGCAGAGAAAGATGGCAAGTCTTTTAGTTGATATCTCAGAAAACCTTCAAGTCTTCCAAGTACATTATATGTGTGTAGTTATTTGTAGTATATTTCTTTTGGCGAACAGCGGCGAACACAGCCCAGTGGAGCACAGAATATCTGCTATTGAGACCTATTGAAGAAATGTGAACAGGAGCTGCCTCTCGAATCGCCTGCATTGGCCAGTCCAAAGCGCTTCACTAAAGAATCAGACACTGACCCCCCTGACATTTCAAAGTGCAAACACCCATGTTCCAGTTGAAGCAAATCAGGGTGGTTGTTCGTCTGGGTCGCGTTCTTTATGACATCCTGGGTTGGTCTATTTTTTAGGCTAAATTCGCAGGAGGATTCTAAAAACATCTAAAAACTTAGGCGAGGGTGTGCGATACTTGGTGTGGATATGCGATGGGGTGACCTTTACAAAGTCGGTCGTGGCAGGCCCACCGCATTGGCCAAAGTAGTGCAGATTTCGTGGCGCCAAAGCGGGCTTGCACACACAAAAGCCACCAGACGCTGAAAGCACGACAAAACACATCGTCATCGAAAACTACACACCCTATATTGCCCAGTGAAAGGATGCTTTCAGCCGCTTGCAAAAACAAAATCAATAAGACTTAGGCGAGTGCGCGCTACTTTTTGTGTGAGCGATGGGTGCCTGGGTGACATTTAGACTATCTGTCGTGTCAGGCCCAGCGCATTGGCAAGAGTAGTGCAGATTTCGTGGCGCTGGAGGGGGGTTGGGGGGAGGGCACGGCGCCCCCCAGAGCGAACCAAACATCAAAAGCCAGCAGACTCAAGAGGCACCACAAAATATATGGATCACCATTGAAAACTACACACCCCATTGCCTCATCGATGAAGGGCACTCAGAAAGTGACGCAAGGACCAAGGCAACCGGTAGCGCTTTGTTTTCGCAAACCTCAGGTGTTTGACCAATATTTATCAATGGACCACGAGGCCAGCGGACCAGGACAAGGACCAGGAAAGAGACCGGGGGACCGAAGGACTAGGTCACCAAAGGACCAGGGCACCACAGGACCAGGGGACCAATGGACCAGGGGACCTACTCAGGACTATTTTTGTTTGATCATGTTCATACTTGTTTATTGATTCTGGATCCTGTTTGGATCGTGATAGGTGTTTCTTTTGATCCTGTTGTTATCAATTAGATGCCCACCAGGCTCAACCGCTCGACCCACCTTGCAGCGGGGAGGTAACGCCAGTGAATTCAAGCTGTGCCCAAGGAGTTGCCTCTGTCAAGAGGAATCATCATGATTAAGGGCAAAAATGTACTGCTGAGAACAGAGACAAAACTCCTGACTTTGATTAGTTCAGAACCCTTGCCTGCATGCCAAACAATCTTTCAGATTGGTGAATCAACCTTTGCTTCCTTGCCTGCACCATGTTCAGGTGCTTTTGTTTTGCCAGAAGAACAATTCACACCAATGACGAATTGCGCATGAGGGGCTGAAACAACATGAACAACCACCTCCACTTCAGCTGTGCACAACTCAGATCAATCCCACACAGCTGCGTGATCACGACTCCAAAAATGTCGTAGTGAAAACACTAGCAGCACTAATTAGCGTCGTGGTTCAGGAGGACCTTCCGCATTTGTTACGCATAGCTGTCCAAGAATTGTATGAACCAGTATTACTGCCTGTCCCTTGCCTGCCATTTGCCAAGGGCAGCAGGAGCAGCCAAGCGAGCATGGCTCATGGCGAGTAGGGATTTTCAGGGGGCACTAAGCACTATATAGTTGAAATCTTGAGAATGTGCCTGTCAACATGTCTCCAAAGATTGTCATGATCCCACAGTCTTTCACTAGGACCTGTTGGATCAATGAGTCCAATGAGTCTAATGGGTCGCTGGAATTCTGGCCTGTGCTGGCCTGGCCTGTGTCGGCTTCATGCTCTCTGCTTTGAAACCTGTGCTTCTCCGAGTCTTGATCAATTCTGTCATGAGTTATATTATAGGTAATCTACAGTAGGTGCTTTGTCTGAGCAACTGTCAAATCAAGTGTGCGTCTAGTTCGTTGCTTCCACTCTCCACAACAAAACCGTGACACTGGGACCATTTTGGGATCTGGGAATCAATCAAAGGCTGCTAAGGAATGAGCTGTGCCTGGAGCACGAGTTCGAAGCCCTCTACGGCTCTCCAGCACTGCTGGGTCGCAAGGGATCGGGCTGGTGGCACTACCGTTGGAACAGGTCACAAAACAGGCCTTCTTGTAGTCCTGTCGTTACAAGTTAAACAGCCTGAACAGCCAGTCTTGAAAATGATTTGCCTCAACCCAAGTTTTTGAGTACTGCGAGAGCAGCTCCAGGACATGCCCGCCCTGCTTCTAAAACTGGCAAGGCGCAAAGCTTGTCCAAACGCAGGGCAGGAGCAGGTTCTTTCAAGCTAAAGGGTTGGTTGGGTTCACTGTAGTGTTTGATTGCTGATCTCAAATGCACCCAATCTGGCACATGCAGAAAGGAGCCCAGCTGCACTTCGAAGCTCACATTCAGCAGAGACTGGCTCAAGCTGGAAAATGAAGGTGACACGCCAGCTATGTTGAAGCTATTGACCCCCACCGTAGGTGACCTTGCACAGGCTCATGTCCGTCCATGAAATATGACTCAAACTTCTTTCCGCATGCTGTCCTCCCCAAATGGCTATAGCTACAGTTCTGGACATTCAAACGTCATCAACAACGAAGGGGGGTGCAAACCATTGCAGTACCACTCTCAAGAGTCTTGCAACTACCAATCCACAGGCCTTAAATCTCTGCACTGCCTCCACGCAGTAGGTCAGGTCTGCCAGCATGCCTCAGACCAGCCGGCTACCAGGGCACCACTCAGCTGACAAGGCAACCAGGAATCTCTGGCCTTGCGACACGGCCTTCTCCTTGTCCAGCACAGATTTTCGTGCCCTGTAGCTGTTCTTGTCCTCTTCCTGAAGTTGCGCACATGTATGGCCAAATTGGGTTTTGCCAATTTGGCAATGGAGAAAACCTACTGTAATCTGACTGTCCTGCAGCTCCATCTGAGCCATGACACCTTCCAGCCGCCGGAGCATTGGAAGGAGGAAGAAGGATTCCTTGGCTTTTTGGCCAAACAAAATTATGACATGTTAGATCATGTAGCCCCGCTTGTCTCTGATTGCGACTTCGGCCCCTGAGCTGCCCAAACTGGAGGCCATGGTTAATAGACAAAACTATATACACCCTCATCCACCCCAAACAGTTGCAAAGCATTCGTAACAAAATCGAGGCACAGCAAGCACAAAGCAGGGGCAAACTGCCAAAACAAAGTGGACATCACATAAGGAAACCACGGCAAACGACAGGAACATTTGAAAGAGAAGCACAGAGTAAGCCGTGCTGGGAAACAACAAGTAACTCATGGGAGCAAAGGAACCAGGAGTGAAGGACAAACACATGGAAGGCATTGAAGGCAATGATGAAAAACAAGACCACAAGAAACAGGACACGGCAACCCAGCTGGGAGGCTGGGAGGCATAAATGAAAGAAAATACAACACGGACTGGCAGACACATGAAAGGAAATGAGGCGCAAAGCGCACACAGCAGCCCAGCATTGGGAGACAACAACTTTCATTCGCCAAAGGGGAGCCAGCAAACCGGGAAGTGGACACCACAGCCCAGACTGAGAGGGTCACATTTGAATGCATTGAGAACCCCAACAGTAAATTGCATTCTCCTCCTTGCAGCCCTGGCCTTTGAACCAAAGACGAATCGGCAACTATGAGTCGGCGACCAAAAGCGCCAGATTGACAACTAAAGCTGAAAACAGCTGCGCCAGCAACTAGAACGGATCGGCCCGCAACTAAAACAGTGGCCGGGCTGGAAATTCTATTTCTCTATGGCAGCAAACTGAAAAAAATTATCGTGACCCCTGTGCGCAGCGACTGTGGTGTTTTTTCTTCCCTCACCTCAAGTCTTTGGTGAGCAGCCTTGGCTGCAAGGCTTCTGGCCTCAGTTGCTTCTTGTTTTGGAGATTACGTTGCAGGCGTTGTGGCTGAGACCTACGGTACGCCCAATGGGCTGGATCGAGCCATGGCAAAGCAGCGGGCTTATCAAGACGCTGTAGTTCAAGGTGGCAAGTCAAATTCTGAGATAATCGAACCGAGTGATCTTTGGATTCTGGCGCAACTTGTCAACATTGTCTCTGCGAGAGGACTTGATATAAGATGCAGAAGCCAAATCTCGTACAGCAGACAGTTGAGGATTGTTCCATTTTTGTCACTGATGCAGAGTTCGGATTGCTCCAGGCTGCCTGAAGCAGAAACCTGTTTTTGCCCGTCGGGTCGACAGGGAAGAGATGGAGGCATGGTCACCAACAGCACACCTGGGTCACAAAACAGTTTCTACGTTGAACAACTTCTGTGACAAGGGTCTGCGACAAGGATGATTTTGGGATGAAGAACTTTGATCCTGGCCTTGCGGCTTTTAACCGACAACACCAATTGCAAACAGGAGCTGCAGCAAATGACCTGCGCCGGCCGCTTCTTGTTTGCACTTACGTTCCGGCCACAGTGACGCGCGAGGTGTACAGCCCATGTGATTGCGTTGTCTTCTCGCCTTGTCCCACCTGCATATTCTTTTGATTGCCTCCAGGAACTGAGCGAAATCACCAAAGCGACTTCTCGATCGTTTCCATGATTTTGAGCCCCAAGCAGGTAGGAACGAAACTCTGGCTTCTTGGTCAATATATCATAGCTCAACGCCCTTTCAAAAAGGCGCTGCGAAAAATCTTCCCAGCACTGCACCATCCCAACAGTATTCAGCACTGCGTGCAATCGCACTCGCACGCGAACCTCAGTATTCACGAGTCATTCTTGTTTAACGACTCCTTTGCCCGCGACTTGCGACGTTCCTGCTCTTCCCTTTAACGGTCTAGAACAGGTTGTTCATCTGCCAGCTGATATCTGGATGATCGAATGGCAAAGCGAAGCAAATCCATCGGCTCGAAACGCACAATACATTGTCAAGTTCTTCAGCTAAATCAAACGTTGTGTTTATCACTAGGCAATTTTTTGTATTATCATAGTGAGGGTGTTGTCAAGTAAAACTTTGGTATGTCTTCTGCATTGTCCCTATCGAAAGTTGCGTAGAAGATCCTTAGGAAAACCTGTCGCACTTCTATGAAGTGTATAATAAACTTTTGATGTCTCCCTCGACTTAGTCTTGAAGGACAAAAAATCAACAAACCAGGTCTTCTTCTCCATCCCTTTCTCTGCATCAAACAATTTTGTCTTGCTTTTGCTACTACCATCGAGCGTCCACAAAAATATATAGCACCTGAAAAATTGTCTCAGCCCTCTGCATGTTCTTTGCTGCTTGTAGATGTCTATAATATTGACTTAGACATGCATGTGGGAGGCAGGGTCGTAAGCATATGAATATAAAATATATGTACATATATATATATATATCCGCCGACCCCACCCAGAGGATCCTGGACCAGAGTCCTGGTCCAGAGGTAGCTTTCAGGAGAAAAAGGGAGACTGGATCTCCAGATGGAGGCCTGTAGAAGAAGACTTTTAGCGCCGTCTGAAGGTGACGTTAGACATCCCGGGTTTCGTTTTCGGGGGTTGTTTGGGAGTAGAACTAGATGGGGGAAAGCCGTGCCGAAGCCGGTGCTTGTAGCACGGGTAGCGGGTATCGGGCGGCGTCTAGAAAAGGAGACCGGATCTCCAGATGGAGGCCTGCAGCAGAGGATTTTTAGCGCCGTCTGAAGGTGACGTTAGACATCCGGGTTTCGTGAATGAGACGGGGGAAAGCTGGCGGTACAGATTGCCGGGAGCCTGAGGAGTGCGCCTCTGGAGCTCCATCCTGCCGTGAGAAAGCACGGCTTCTGCAAGTGGACTAGAAGAGAAAGCACGACGTTTGGAAGAGGACTAGAAGAGGAGAATAGAGAATAGTAGTAAGGCCAGGATCCCCGAATTGTTTCCTTGCTCCTCGTAGTAAGGCCAGGATCCCCTAGTACTCTCCTTGCTGCTCCCCGTTGGAGACCCAGCACACACTATATATATATATAGTGTGTGCGTGCTTGTGTGCGGAGTTGCGGAGTTGGTCTTACAGATTGGCACTCGGCACCAAGCTTCCAACCGTTTTAGGGAGTCCTACTTTGTATTATCTGGCTGATTTCCTCATCCAAGCTTGTACTGTACTATCTACCTTGGGATGTGCTTAGCAGTTATTACGAAGGGTGAATCATCAAAGCCAGCCGGAAGTAAGACTCACATTATCAGTACTTTGCCCCCTGCACATCAGACACGCCACTTTTTAACTCTCGCAGCCCTGGAGTGGGGAGAAATGCGACCCGGACCAGCACAGCAAACCAGCCGTGCAAGGGTAGTAAAAGGAGGAAACCAGCCACCCCCAAACTTACCTAAAAGGTCGCAACGAATAAGCACCCAAGTAAAGAAAAGACACCGCCAAGTAAAGCACAGTGGCGGAGGTTCACACAACCGCCATCAAACGTTGCCCAACTCCAAGAGCAACCCCACTTGGCTGAACTCAGGCATACAAGCAAATGGTGACCAGAACGTCAAACCAGCAGACTGGAACAAGTCATTGCAAGCAAATCCCCGTTTGTTGTACGCTCGCGTACACATCCCGTGCATGATGTGCATGGGGCATAACATGAACAAAAGCAGCTGTTTCCAAAAATTTGGCAGGTGTCCCAAATGTGCCTCCACCCACACGGGGCAGGCAAAACCGTGATGAAAGGCTCTATGAGTCAGAATCTGTGCATTTGATGGTGTTGAGTGCCTTGGCGAAGAGTTGATAGTCCTGCTAATGCGTTGCGAGGTTAACAGCAAGTTGCACTTGAGGACCCAAGCTGCCGAGTCTGGTGGGATACCCCAAGAGTTGCTTGGCAAAGACTGTACGGGCGCTGCACAACCAGTATGGAGAGAAAAAGACTATGTCTCTCTACCCATCTAACGTGGACACGTGATCGCAGCTCCCAGCTCCCGAGTCGAGCAGCCGAATAAAGCTGCATGTGATCAGCCACCACCTCAGGAAAAAGGAATGCTCAATGAGATTGACTCAATGGCTTGAAGGTGTTCTGTGGTGCAACCTGTGATAGAACCAGCAACCAGCAGAGCCTGGACACGACAATTAATTGAAGGACCTGGGGTCACTAAGTCCAACACGCTGCGAATTACAGCAAAGGTCTGCTCAATGATCCTATGAGCGCCCAGGTTTGCAACCAAAACAATGATCACTTATATAATTATGGATATATATATATGTATATATGTGTGTGTGTCGGATCGAAAAGGAAATAGAACAGCAGCAACAACAAGCTGCAAAGCTGTCCTTTGGACCATCTTGACTGATTCATTGGCCATGACGTCGTCGTCAGGGATCTGCTTCACTTTTTCCCTTGCAACAAAGTGAAAACTTTATCTGCTGGGTTGGATGTTCTTGTTGATGTGGAAACTATGTTCAGTGGAGCGGAAACTGTTTTCAAGGGACCAACATGAGAGCCATGTGCCTAAGCAACCAAACCACACTTTTACCACCAGAGTTCCAAAATCACTGAGGTAGTGAAGCAAATGTGCAAACGCAACAAACCAGGTGAGCAGTGTCCTTGGCAGTGATGGTTGTGTATTCCGCCGACCAAAACATCTTGCTGTATTCCTCAGCTTGGACCTCAAAAAACCCTCACACCCAGCCTCAGCGCCGTTTGCAAAGTCCCTCTGCCATTTCGCTCTTGAACTATGCGCGCCTCTCACAGGTTTTCACATGTGGTTCCGCCCTCTTGAGCCCAATTCCAAACAAGAACATGCACTTGTTACTAATAGCTTCTAGCTACTAGTAGCGATGCACTTG